TATTATTATTATTATTATTATTATTATTATTATTATTATTATTATTTGAAAAATCAAGCCACGGTTCAATCCACTACAAATCGAATGAAGCTGCTTCAGATAAAAATCTTTGTGCCCTCGTCCTGCATGTTAACTTTAACTTCACTTCAAAAGTCTGACATGTGCCTTACTCTCTTTCAAATTAAAGTTTTAACTGAAGTACAGCTCCCATGCTCATATGAGACAATATATTAGACTTTTTGGGTTTTCAAATATTATACCAAATCAGATACTAGTTAGAATGGGTGGGCAGCCCGCTTAACTATTAACATAAACGTTCTTTTGGAAACAGAATAACGATGCTTGATTTCCTGGGCTCTTTGCCCTCTTTATCTCATTAATCTGTTGTGTGATTTTTTTTTTCCAAAGTTTTAATGTTGATTCCTATTGAATAGCTTGATTTATGTTTTGAGAGGAGATTCTGTTGATGTAAAAATAATCTTAATTTTAAGTTTTTTTTTTAAAAGAAATTGTTGATCTTAATGTTTGTTTTAATAATAATTTAAGGTCTCAAAGGATGCCATTGAAGGCAGTGAAGCAAGCAAAGCTATATCATTTTTTGTACTGGACATATTTATCTGTATTGATCAAGAGAAGTTTTTCCTTAACCTACTTCAGAGCAAAGCAATTCCAAGGTCGTCTCTACTAAACGTTAGCAACTTCTTTTGTAAGGTGAGCAAACTTTTTTTTTTTTAATTTCAACTGTGTTTGTTTAGTTTTTCTTTTTCATTTGAACAGTGTGATCAATTATTTACATTCATTGAATTCCTGAACATCCTTAGGCTAGAGAAGGTCTTCAACTCCGTTAAAATTTAGAGGGATTTCAGCATATAAGAGTTTTCTTTTACTTAGTATTTGTAAATCCATAATGGTATCTTTGCTTTGCAGACTATGGATGCTGTTTCATTTAGTCATACAATATCCTAAGCTGGTTCAACATTATTTCGTGGGAGAGTAATTATTAAATACGTTAACATTATTTTGTGTCATAGGAAAATTATTTCTTGGGAGAGTACTTTATTTGCTTCATTGTTATAGAACCGGTTTTCTTTGCCTATATCTTATCACCAGTTCTACAGTTAAATAATGAAGTTTTATTTAAACATCTCACAACTTGTTATTAGAGATAGGTCAGTCAATGCCATAAGCCCTCTTATTCTCAAACTTTGCTCCTTGTATTGCCAATAGAGTTTTTTAATCGTGTTTGCTTCTTGTTGATATCGCACCACACTTTGCACCTGCTTCCCTTGCAAGTCATGTTCGCATACTAGTTGCCTTGCATGCTTACTTTTTTCCTATTCTTGTCACTTAGCCATATTGAGAGAATCTGCTTGGGTATGTTGCTTAGGTGTGATGTTTAACTTGCCTACTTTGCTGTTACTGTCATTTATCTTTCTTCCACATGCTTACTTTGCTGCAGATCGGACATTGCTTGCTCATTCGTCCAACTTCGCTTTGGGTTGCTTTCATGTAGCTCATGCATTTTCTTGCATCCATACTCTAGCTCGCTAATACATTGTATGACATCTTTATTCATGCATCACTATTCAGAATTTCATCTGTGTTGAATTCCTATCTATAATTAAATCTTCCACTCTATCTTTATATCGATTGTTGATGGCTTGCTCTACTCTTTAATCTAAAATTGGTATTACAATTAAACTCAATAACACCGACCATTTTTTGTGGGCTAGGTCTTTTAAATTTTTCATATTTTTGCGATAAAATTTATGCTTTAGATTATTCATTTCTTGCACTAACTTTTACTACGAAATGCACAAAGTGACAAGACTCTTGATAGGTATTTTTCATGTCAATGTTTGATAGTTTCGAACCTCAAATTGAAAGGCTGTGTTACTTTATTCGTTCGGCTTACTGTCAAGAAAGTAGCATCTCTTTTGTTCATATTAACCTTCATTCCCATCCAAAACTGAAACTGTCCAAAAAACATGAAATGCGATGAATGTAATGCGGTTAAATTACTCATACATCAAATATATTGCTTCAATGCTTCCAAAGCATCAAAAATATAATCATCACATAATGTGAATTAAAGACAACGGATGTGGCGTAGCACAAGTCTAAATTGAATCACATAGACTAAAATGAAACCATCTAATCATCAGTTATTTTTCAAAATGGATTGTGCTGATGTGTTTAAAATCTTAAAAAATTCTAGTTAAGGAAAACCGTATTGCCTGCGTTATTACATGGATAATTTACCGTCCTTTGAGTTGACAAGAAATATGAGATGCATGAATAATGATTTTGTGCAAGAACTTATTTACATAACATTAATATAAAATTTAGTTAATGTGATTTTCAACTATTCGCGCCATGGGCTATCTAAATGAGAGTTTTTTTTTTTTTTTTTTTTGGTATCATTTTATAAGGTTGATTAGATTGCAGAGCATATATTGACTTGATATTTCAACCTCATTTTGAAGGTCTTTATCACCTGATTTGCAATTTCTCAGTGGTGCAACCTAATAATGAGTAGGAATTTAAGCTAGTCATTAAGATGCTAATTGGTCAGCATATATCAGTAGTAATTCAGTTTTGGTGTTGGCGTTTTTTTATAGAAGCCAGAAAAGCATATGGAGGAAGACCAAGAAGGGGGAATTTACAATTTAGTTTTTGAATTAATTTAATAATTAGTATTAATTAATGTAGAATATTAAGTTAACTAAACTAATGTTTTTGTAAACATTTTTGGATGTTAAAATATATTTAATTGGATCTAACATGTCATGCCAAAGAGTTTTTAAAATTAATCGACCATAGGCTTTAATAATATCAGATTTACTAGAATTTCTAAATCCTACTAACTTAAATTTGAAATATGGTCAAAGAATTCGTGAAAAATCATTTTCTCTCTCTATTCTCAGTGCACTTGAAGCCCTTTTCCAATCTCCCCATTCACACATGCACTATGGTTCTGCTTCTTCTTGTGCAACCCGCATGATGCCTAAGTTGAACGTTTTCTTGCTCCAAAGATTTGCTCGTACAGCCTTACCTCATTTCTACTTCTAACGATCAATTTAGTATCACAAACAACCTTTAGCCTTCTATGGTTCAACCGGTGGCCTCTTTCCTCCAAACTCCCACTTGCTTCTCAGCAAAAAAAGTTCACTTGCCTCTCATTGCATCCCTAGCTAAGTGCCACCTTTCTTTTTTTCAATTTTGTGCACTTATCTAGCTCTTCAACATCTATAGATAAAACTATGCCCTTTTAATTTTCTTCTTTGGCTTGTCTATCAAACCTCTAGCTGGTAAGCCACATTGTCGGCAACCCTTTAAAGCCACTACGAAACTTATTCAAGCCCCTTTATATTCTTTCCTCTCTCTCTCTCTCTCTCTCTCTCTCTCTCTCTCTCTCTCTCTCTCTCTCTCTCTCTCTCTCTCTCTCTCTCTCTCTCTCTCTCTCTCTCTCTCTCTCTCTCTCTCTCTCTCTCTCTCTGTAACGACTTGACTTGATACTTGAAATTATTCAAGACTGGAACAGACGGTCGAACGGTGGAAATAAATTTTCTGCTAATTTATTTCTATCACTAACAATTTAATAGTCAAATTTCCCTGAAGTAGCTACTAAAGAAAGTAATTTAATGAACAAGTAGAAGTTTTTTATATTTCTTGTTTCTGTTCTCGCCTTATACACATTAGCTCATATTCTATTCATCTTACTTAGAAAGTTAAAACCTACAAAAAAATATTAAAACAACATAAGGAGTTTTATAGATAACTTAAGAGTAATTATACTTTTAAACTTCAATAACTCAAAGAAGCGAAAATAATATGCATGTTGATCTTTCATATTTCTATAAGAAATTTTGTAATAATCTAATGTGTGTATAAACGACATTTACCCTGCTCGATATTATCCCGTTGTGACAACGGTTTATTTTGTAATTTACATGGTTGTCGGAGGTGGAAAAGTATTTACTCAACCCTTAGATAGCAATGTAAACATCCAATTTTTTTGGGATATTAGGAAAACATCTTTGCGTGCAGGAGCACTAGCGTCTACAACCTGTGCCATTAGGGGGTGAACTTCTTTTATCGAACACATATGAGCTTTCATATATAAGCTATTTTATTCTTCATAAAATGTATTCTTTTGAGACATCTTCATTCATCTACTATGTTGCATATCTTTTATATCTAGCAATTTGAAGAATCTATTGTAATTTAAATTTAATTGAACTAGAACATACAACAAGTAGGCGACTGCTGGAGGGTGTAGAAGTGGGGGTTGAGGAAAGATAAATGTTTTGTTGGGGTCAAGCTACAACTAGAGGATCACCCAAACTCTTGGAAACGATCACCACCTAGGAAGAGTTACTGTCGGAGCATCTTCTCGCCGTCGGATATAGCCTTCGAGGGAAAGAACGCCACTAAAGCAGCACTAAAAAATTTGCAATCATAAAACATTTCCCTAATAAAGAGGGGATTAGTAGATAAAATAGGCAAAGAGGATGACGGGGAAGAGATATAATTAACAAGAATTGGAATGAAAAAGAAGTAGAGAATGAAATGAATTATAACTGGAAAGATTCAGGACAGGACAGGAAAAGAAAGAGATTAAGTAAGAAAGGGGGACCACAGTTACTGTAGCAGCTACAGTATTGTGCACAGTAAGCTCTCGCGCCAGCCCTTCTCCGAAACTACCTATTGCTCTTCCCTCTTTCTATTCCCTTACTCCTCTCTTTATCTCTATTCCCACTGGCTAAGTTTTTTAATTCTGACACAACCTCACCTCGGCAACCTTTTCAAGGAAACGAAAAAGTGCATAAATTGGTGACAAACATCAAATTGGAAACATGAGCAAGGAGAAAAATATTTTAAATAACGTGAAAAGGGGTTTTATACTCATCGATTTCGTCTTTGAGGCCTAAACCATGAGTTGAGCACTCTGGGGTTTGCTTGTTGGTCTCTATTTGTGCCTGTTCTAAACGGGCCAAACATAGACAATTGCAGGAAGAATCGGGAAAGTGCTTCGTGCAAACGAACTGAGAGATGGGAGAGGGATTCAAAGGCTCTGGAGTAAGGATCCCCCCCCCCCCCCCCCCCCCCCCTCTAAAACCACACAA